GGGGAGGAGGCGGAGAGGAGGAAGGAGGAGGAGGGGAGGAGGATGAGGAGTGAGGAGGGAGGAGGAGGAGGAGGAGGAGGAGGGAGGAGGATGTGGAGGAGGGAGGGTCTCCCTTCCTCAGCGCGGCACGAAACTGAACGGAGCGGCGGCGGCGGCGGCACCTCTCTGCGCCCGGCCGCTGCGCTCGGCAGGCGTGGGCACCTGCAAGTACCAGCAGGAGATCGTGGCGGCCCCAGCCGAAGCGACGGCCTGGGCTCTGGCGGCGATTCGGCGGCGCGCCGGGGTCGCCCGGAGGGAAAGGGTTCCCTGACCCTCCAGGAGGGGTAAACATAGCCCAGGACCTCGACATCAAAATCCCTGTCGAGGCTGGAGGCGGTCCAGATAGGTCTACAGGCCTGGAGGGCTAGTTTTTTATCACTCCGGAGGGTCAGGGGAGGGGGGGGAGCCCTTCTCAGAAAGCGGCGGGGCTTCTCAGAAGGCGCAGAGGACTTCTGAGCCTTCTGACCCCAACCCCCTCGCGCTGGGAACAAAATCACGACGGGAGGTTTTCCTTCCTTTTCGGCCTTTGGAGGCCATCGCCGGGCCTCGGGGCCGTCAGCAAAACGATTCGGGATGAAGAACCGGTCCGCGGGAAGGGGTTCAGACCTTCGGGGGCCGATTTTGTGAAACCATGAAGTCGTCGGGGGTCTGGGGCGGAGGCGGAAGAGGAGGAGGAGGCGGAGGAGGAGGAGGAGGAGGAGGTGGAGGAGGAGGAGGAGGAGGAGGATTTTTGAACATCAGCAATGTCTGAAGATGATAAATCACTCTTCAGGGAAACCTCAATTGTGACATCCTTAAACTTTGGATGATGACCTTCCAGAATTTGATATTTCCACCTCTCCAAGTTGTTGCGCGTGGCGTTGCCACACGCCTTACCCAACAAGGAGGGGGGACCGAGCGTGGACACCGCTTTGCATCTCACGCATACCAACAACGGCGAACCGTCGCTGCACTTCTGAGAAATGAGCCTGTGTCCTTTCTCAGTGACGTGCAGAAGACTTTCGGGCGCCTTCCCAGAACACCCCTCAGGTGGAGGCTTGGGGGAGCAGCCGAACACAAAGGTCCCTTGTCTTTAAAATTTTGAGACAAGCGGAGCATCTCCAGTAGGAACGGCACCATTCCCATTCATGCGCCTCTTGTCCTTCGGGGGCCTTGGCTCTCTGGACGGTGCTCCGACGAACCAGGGGGCACCCAGAGAGATCAAGGGCGGGCCAGGGGCCGGGCCGCCAGGAGACAAACCGATTTGGATATTTTGCGCTGTCTGCTGACCTCAGCGAGCTCCTGGTCAGAGCCTCTGGGGTGAGCATACATACCAGCTTCAGCAGCAGAGTCAGCTGCATCGTTGCCGAGCTTGGCCCATCTTTCCTCTTCAGTCAAAGAAGGGTCGTCCACCACAGGGGCCTTGACCTTCCGAAGGTCCGTGATGTGAGGAGAAACAGCAAACATCATAGTGCCAGATTGTATTCTTTTGTGTGAGAATTTCTTAGGCCTGTCCGCCCAGAAACTAGGGACCACGTTGGTACAGTCAGACAGCCCTCTCGCAGGGCCTACCGCATTATTTGGCGCCATCGCTAGAGCCCCACAACCCCCTGCCTGCGGAGTGTGTGGCATTGGGCCCCATGTTGGGCCGTGCACCGAAACCTGCACCTGAGCCTCCTGATCTACACACCAAAGCCCCACTATGACCTACTCAATTCTCGAACGGCATGTTTGGAGCAAGACCCATACATACATACATCTCCGTGCACTTCACCTCGTAGCAGCCTCTCCAGACCTGGACCGCTGACCGTTTTCCCTCCCGAAGCCCTTGGCCGAGGAAGAACATCTCCAGGACGCGAAAATAAACCCTTAGTGAAGAGGAGAAACTCCTTAGCGTCGCTGTGGTCCACCTGAGCAGCCGCATTCGCGACATCGCCATCGATCAGATCGGATCTGTCGGTGGCACAGGCAGGGCACTCCCAGAGCCGGTACCACAGGCTGTCGTGGTGCAGACCGCTCAGCTCGCAAAATGGGGATGGGAGATCATATCCCACCTGGATCGCACGATCCTTGGTCCACAAAGCCCCGCACCTGACAGACTTGATGCAGCCCTGCTCGGATCCAGAATACTCAGAGGATCGAAGCTGAGCAGAAACCACATCGTAACACATTCTCCCAGGGAGGCCGAAATTGCGGGCTGCATCTCGTTCTAATTGCCTGAAAGCTCAGTCTTTCAACATTTGCTTGAGCAGACAGGCAGACCATGAAGTGAGAATGAAGGATGAAGGTGACGACGATGAGGATGAAGGTGATGACGATGAAATGATGAGGATGATGCTATGATGAGGATTTAGGTGATGACGATGATATGATGAGGATGAAGGTGATGACGATGCTGATGACGATGCTGATGACGATGATAGTGATGATACCGACTATGATGATGACGATGATGCTGATGATGGTGGTGATGATGATGATGATACCGATGCTGATGGTGATGATGCGGATTATGATGACGACGATTATGATGATTCTGCTGATGATGACGATGACGATGTCGATGACGATGATGGTGATGATGCTAATGACGCTGATGATGCTGCTGCAGTTTATGATGATGCCGATACTGTTGATGATGATGATGCTGATGATGATGATGATGATGATGATGATGATGATGATGATGCGGATGATGCTGACGACGATGATGATGATGCTGATGATGATTGTGATGATGATGACGATGATGATGATACTGACGATGATGATAATGATGATTATGATGACGATTGACGACGATGATGATGACGACGATGATGATGCTGCTGATGATGACGGTGATTATGTTGACTACGATGATGATAATGCTGATGAATAAGAATATGATGCTGCTGCTGATGATGTGATACTGATGATGATGCTGCTGCTGCTGATGGTGATGATCATGGTGACGACGATGATGATGCTGATGCTGCTACTGCTGCTGATGATGATGACGATGACGATGACGAGGACGATGATGATGACGATGACGATGATGAGGATGATGCTCACGGACTCAGGTCAGGATGGACGCCGGTCCCAGGGATGGGGTCCAGACCTCTGTGGGTCGACGCTGTTGGAAAAATCACGATTTCGGTAGTCTGGGTTCGGGGCGCTTGAAGTGGGTACTGACAGAATGGGTACGAATATCGACGGTACTTCTGGTTTCTTCTGAACAGGGTTCGCTGCTAGCGTCGCCGCGGTCGTTGTCCCTCTGAGACAGAAGGCCGCCTGCCCAGCAGCGGCCGCTGTTGGTCCTGAACAACGTCCGATGTTGGCATCGTATTATTTTTCTGTAACAATCTCGGGTGTCCAAAAAGGAAGTGGCGCCAGGGGGGGTGGGCAGGCGGTCTTCTGGGAACGCCAGGGGCCTCGAAGGAGGCCAGGGAGTTGGCCTTCAGGACGGACCCCTGGGCCTCCTGGAAGCGCTCCCCCAGCAGCCTCCGGGCCCTCCTAAGAGGGCCCCCTGCCTTCTCTGAAGCCCCCCGCCCTCTCAGGAAAGCCTCGGGGGTGGACAGAACCCCCAACAGTGACACGTCGATTAGTGAATTGTCCGTTTTCGGTTCTCGAGATGGCGCCGTGGATGTTATTTTCCAGGCTTGCGCCCGCCAGGTTTGGGCCTCAGGTCGTTTTCACTAAACCACGTTTTACTAAAGGGGGGTCTGTCCATCCCCGGAAGCCGCGCCTCCCTCTGCGCGCCCTTCCACCGGTGCCCCTTCTGGACCTGTTCCGGGGCTGCTCACGACCATGCTTGTCGGCACCAGCGATGCGAGCCGATGGCTCTGCGGACGCGGCGTCGATCGGCTCGATCCGGGCCGCACGCCCATCTTGGAGGCCCCCAAGACAGTGCGGTGACCACACCGTGTGGTGAGTCAGTGGAGATTCGGAGTGGCCGCACGGTTTTGGGGCTCGGGTCGTTCCCCGAGGATGTCTCGGGCGATTGGGGTCTCCAGGGTCTCAGAGCCGTGCGGTGACGGACTGGGCGGTGAGTTCGCTGGGGATTCCGAGGTCGCCGCACGGTCCGCCACCGCACCGTTTTGGGACCCCTAAGCTCAGGAGCGAAAGAGGGAGCTAGTTTTCGAACATCTGGATTGCGCGAACGTTCGAATCACGAGGCTGGTCTCGCGGACTGGAGGGCCGTATTCATGTACGTGGTTTGGCACGTGCGTCTTTTGTGGGCCCCCCCAAACCCACGATCGGTTCCGCTCCTCCATATGACGGGCTCGATTCGATCGAGCTGGTGGCGCGAACGGTTCCGAAGGTCTGTGACCGAGAGCAGTCTCCCGACAGCCCTGCGCTCCTCTGGCTCGGCCGACGGTGTCCGATCGGAGTGCCCCGCTGAGGTGGATGCGGATTTGGCTTCGTGGGCCAACATCAAGCGCCGCGGGCGCGAGCTCACCCGGTATCTGCTGAGGAGGATCGGGTTCGGAATTGGGGATGTGCGCGCGCTGTGTGCGCGAGAGTGAGAGAGGTAGCGGGAGGGAAGTAGGGTTGGGAGTAGGAAGCGAGATGAGAGAGGGAGTCAGAGAAATCGAAGAGGTGTGATGTATACCTATAGGTATGCCTATACGTATGCATATTTACGGATTTGTTTATGCATTCACCTATATATATATATATCGGTATGTACGTATGTCTATATATTTGTGTGCATGTATGCCTGTCTGTCTGTATGCCTGCATGTCCGTATGTCTGTCTGCATGCATGCATGTATGCCTGCATGCATGCATATATGTAGGTATATAAGTGTGCATGTATGTAGGTAGTATGTATGCAGGTATGTATGTATGTATGTGCGTATGTATGAATGCATGTATGTGTATGTATATGTATGTGTATATATGTATGCATGCGTACATTTATGTATGCATATCTGTATGCGCGTGCACATATATATATATATATATGTATGTATATATATATATATATACAGATGCATTCATGGGCATGTTTGTGTATGTGCATGTAATGTATGCATGTAGGTTCTTATGCACGCATCGTACATTATGTGTGTATGTCTGTATGTATGCAATTGTGTGTGTCTGTATCTGTGTATGTATGCATGTATTTATGTATGTCTGTAGGTACGGATGCATGTATGTATGTTTGTATTGATGTATGTATGCATGCATGCATGTATGTATGTATGTATGTAGGTAGGTATGTATGTATGTATGTATGTATGTATATGTGAGTATGTATGTATGTCTGTATGTCTGCGTGTCTGTATGTCTGTATGTCTATATGTATGTATGTATGTATGCATGCATGCATGCATGCATGTATGTATGTATGTATGTATGTATGTATGCATGTCTATGTATGTATATGTATGTATGTATATGTATGTATCTGTATGTATATGTATGTATATGTATGTATATGTATGTTTGCATGTATGTATGTATGTATGTATGTATTTATGTATGCATGTATGTATGTATGTATGTATGTTTGTGTGCTTGTATGTATGTATGTATGTATGTATGTATGTATGCATGCATGCATGCATGCATGCATGTATGTATGTATGTATGTGTGTATGTATGTATGTATGTATGTATGTATGTATGTATGTATGTATGTATGTATGTATGTATGTATGTCGGAGGTGAGGGGGTGAGATCGAAGTGGAACAGAGAGCCCCCCTACCGGGAAATCGATTTCGGTTTCGTGTTCGTGCGTGCCGTGCGTGCGGGCGAGGCGAAGCTGCGTGGGCGCGGCCGGACCAAATGATTCTCCACCGGGCGGCCGGTGGCGCGCGGTGTCCCGTCGGTGTCCCGCCGGTGTCCCGTCGGTGTCCCTGTGGCTGAGGCGCGGCCGGACCAAATGTGTCTCTTCCGGGCGGCCGGTGGCGCGCGGTGTCCCGCCGGTGTCCCGCTGGTGTCCCGTCGGTGTCCCGTCGGTGTCTCGATGATGATGTGGATGATTATGATGATGATGATGGTGATGATGATGATGGTGATGATGGCGATGATGATGGTGATGATGATGATGATGATGATGATGATGATGATGATGTTGGTGTTGTTGTCGTTGATGATGATGATGATGATGAAGTCGATTGTGAGATCGATTGTGACATCGATAGTGAGACCGAATGTGAGATCGATTGTGAGATCGATTGTGAGATCGATTGTGAGATCGATTGTGAGATGATGATGGTGATGATGGTGATGATGGTGATGATGGTGATGGTGGTGATGATGATGATGATGACGATGATGATGACGATGATGATGATGATGATGATGATGATGATGATGATGATGATGATGATGATAGCGTCGATTGTGAGATCGATTAGGAGTTCGATTGTGATATCGATAGTGAGATCGACTGTGAGATCGATAATGAGATCGATTGTGAGATCGATAGTGAGACCGAATGTGAAATCGAATGTGAGATCGATAGTGAGATCGATAGTGAGATCGATAGTGAGATCGATAGTGAGACCGAATGTGAGACCGAATGTGAGATCGACTGTGAGATCGATTGTGAGATCGATTGTGAGATCGACAGTGAGACCGAATGTGTGACCGAATGTGAGATCGATTGTGAGATCGATTGTGAGATCGATAGTGCGATCGATAGCGAGATCGATAGTGATATCGATAATGAGATCGAGTGTGAGATCGATAGCGAGATCGATTGAGTGAGACGTTGGTTCCCCCTCCCCCCTCACCTCCTTATCACCCGCATGGTGGTCGTATAGGTATGTATGTATGCATGTACTCATGTACGTATGTACGTATATTCGTATGTGCGTATGCATGTATGTACGTATGTACGTATGTACGGAAGTGCGCAACTGGAGGACCCTGTAATTGAAAGGGGGGGGGGGGAACCTCTACCAGACCCCCCCCTCCAAAGCAGGGGTGAGATTTTTGACCCCCGCCCCCCCCCCTGAGGGGGGGGGGGGGGTCCGCACCCCCCCCCTTGTGTTGAGAGGGGGGCGGGGTCCGGACCACCCCCTCCCCCTCCCCTTTGGCGCTGGAAAGGGGGGGGAGGGGTCCGAACCCCCCTCCCCCTCTCCACTCCTTTGCGCCGGACAGAGAGCCCGAAAGGGGGCCTCTCCCGCTGCTCCTTTCTGCGCCGGAGAAGGTGTGGGTAGTGAGTACGGAGTAAGGACAAGTGAGTAGTGAGGAGTGAGTAGTGAGTGTGAGAAGAGAGTAGCGAGTAGCGAGTAGTGGGTAGTGAGTAGTGAGTAGTGAGTAGTGGGTAGTGAGTAGTGAGTCGTAGAAAGTAGTGAGTGCTGAGTAGTGGGTAGTGGGTAGCGAGTAGTGAGGGGTGAGTCGTGGGTAGTGAGATCTGAGTGGTGAGTAATGAGTAGTGTGTACTGAGTAGGGAGTAGGGAGTAGGGAGTCGTGGGTCGTGAGTAGTCGGTGGTGAGTAGTAAGTAGTGAGTAGTGGGTAGTGGGTAGTGGGTAGTGAGTAGTTAGAGAGTCGTGAGTACAGAGTAGAGAGTAGTGAACCCGAGTAGTGAGTAGTGCGTAGTGAACAGTGAGTAGTGATCATTGAGTAGTGAGTACTAAATTGTGAGTGGTGAGTAGTGAGTAGTGGGTAGTGAGAAGCGAATAGCGAGTAGGGAGTAGCGATTAGAGTGTGGTGAGAAGAGAGTAGTGGGTAGTGAGTAGTGAGTAGTGCGTAGGGAGTAGGCAGTAAAGGGTAGTCAGTAGTGAATAGCGTGTAGGGATTAACGGCTAGTCAGTGGTGAGTAGTTAGTAGTGAGTTGTGAGTAGGGAGTGGGGAGTAGTGTGTACTGTGATGTGAGAAGTGGGTAGCGAGTAGTGGGTAGAAGGTAGTGATTACTGAGTAGTGAGTAGTGAGTAGTGAGTGGCGAGGAGTGAGTCGTGAGTGGTGAGTTTTGAGTAGCGACTAGTGAGTAGTGACTCGTGAGTGGGAAGCAGTGAGTAGTGGGTAGTGATGAGTGAGTAGTGAGTAGAGTGGTGACTAGGGAGTATTGTGTAACCACCAGCGCGTGGGGAGTAGCGAGTAGTGAGTAGTGAGTGGAGAGTAGTAAGTACTGAGTAGTGAGTAGTGAGCAGTGAGTAGTGAATCGTGAGTCGTGTGTAGTGAGTAGTGAGTAGGGAGTAGGGAGTAGGGAGTAGCGAGTAGTGGCTAGTGTGTTTGTGAGTAGTGGGTATTGGGTAGCGAGTACCGAGTAGGGAGTACCGAGTAGTGAGTAGCTAGTAGCGAGTGTTGTGTAGGGCGTGGCGGGTACAGAGTAGTAAGTAGTGAGTACTGAGTAATGAGTAGTGAGTTGTGAGTTGTGAGTAGTGAGTAGAGAGTAGTGGGTAGTGAGTACTGGGTAATGAGTAGTGAGTCGTGAATTGTGAGTAGTGACTAGGGAGTTGTGAGTAGTGGATAGTGTGAGTAGAAAGCAGCGAGTAGTGAGTAGTGGGTAGTGGGTAGTGAGGAGTGAGTATCGAGTACTGTTTGGGGCTAGGGTTACAGGTTGGGTTTAGGGTCTGGGGTTAGGGTGAGGATTAGGGTTCGGGGTGGTAGGGGGGGCGGGTTCTGGAGTCAGGGGGCGGCGCGGCGAAAAGGGCGGAGGGGGGGGTCGAATTTCGAGCCCGAGTGGCGGGGGGAGGGCGGGGTTCGGACCCCCCCCCGTTTTGAAAGGGGGGGGTCATCGACGACGGACCGGGAAATGGGGGGGGGTCCCCGACGACGGAGTGGGAAAGGGGGGGGGTCCCGACGACAGATCGGGGCAGGGTCCCCCCCCCCTTTGGGGACATCCAGTGGCGCGCCTTCCCATGTGCGTGCGTCTGCATGTATGCATGCATGCATGTATGCATGTACCTACGTGCATGCGTACGTCCGTATGTATGTGTGTGCGTATGTATGCATGCATGCTTGCTTGCTTGCATGTATGTGTGCCTGCTTGGATGCATGCGTGGTCGCCAGCCTGGACCCCCAACAGTGTGTGTGTGTGTGCATGTGTGTCTAACATTACATGGTGCGTGGAGCAATCCATGCGGTGCAACTTGCTCGGCCCAATACACTCTGTGCAATCTTTGTTGTGCAATGAAGGTTGTTCACATCTTTGCTGAGAATTTCGATGTGGTGCAATATATGCGGTGCAATCTGTGTGGTGCAACAGATGTGGTGCAATCGATGTAGTGCGCAATCTATGTGGTGCAATCGGCGTGGTGCAATCTGTGTCGTGCGCTATCCACGTGTTGTACAAGATGTCGTATAATCGACATGCATGGATGGATGGATGGATGGATGGATGGATAGAGGAATGGGTGGGCGATCGTCGTGCAACGTTGAATCGCGGTCGCGAAACCGCGGGGCGGGCGCCCCCACCCAAGCCCCCATGCTTGGGCGAACGGGAGGGGGCGCCGCGCGACGCGCAGCGGCGCGGGGCGACGCGTGCCCAAGCGTTGGGTGCGAGGCGTCGCGCAGTCCGCCCTGCTTGCATTGGCGAGCGCGGGAGGGGGCGTGCGCGCCGCCCAGGGGTGGGAGGGGCGTCGCGCACGCGCGGTTGGTGGGGCTGTTCGCGCACGACCGCGCGCGGTACACACATTGGCCGCCGGACGCCGCTGCGTTGCGGCTGGTGGGGGGGGGGGGGGGGCGCGGCGAAAATCAAATTATGGGCCTGGAGCTATTGGCCATCGCTGTGGCCATGTCGTCCTTCAGGCATCTTTTGTCGAACGCGGCGCTAAAGATTTTCTGACAACCGCGGGGCAGAGCAGGCGGTGGCGCGAGGATCCGCGTGCCAGTTTGACCGCGCCTGCCTCGTGCGCGGGGCATGGGCGCTGTCTGCCGAAGTCTCGGCATCCGTGTGGGTCCATCGGGTGGCCTCGGCTTCGAATATCGCAGATCCGCCGTCGCGGGAAGATTGCGGTCTGGCGCGCCGCTTGGGCGCGACTTAACCTGTGTAGAACCGACGCTGGACGATCGCTTCTACGCCCCATCCGCAGTGGGCCTCCCTCTCAAGGGGCCCGCTGAGTGCTGATGCCTGCTTCGGTTGGGTGGCGCGGGGGCACGCGCGTCGCATGCTTTCCCGCGCGAGCCTCGCAGCGCGGAGACGCGCGGGGAGATGTCGGGCGCGTCGATCTTCGCCCATTGGCTTCGTGCGTGCGATTTGCGGCGCCAGCCGCATGCATTTTACGTCGAGCTTGTCGCGTATCTCAAATCGCAGGATGTGCCTGGCTGGAAGCATTTGGCAGACGTCGACGCCGACTTCAGCCGGTCTCAACTATCACCGCGCAGCAGTGATGTAGTAACCAGGCGGAGCGCCCGTGGGCCGCTAACCGCCGCGCGTTGTGGCCGTGCGCAGGGCCATAACGAAGTGGGGATGCAGAGGGGCGTGCCGGCTCTCGAGGGTCTCTGCTTCGGTCGGTGCAAGTGTTGCAGCGAAGCTGAAGCAGCGCCGCCCGCGCGCCCCCCGGCGGCGCCCCCCGGCGGCCGGGGCCCCGGCGGCGCGCGGGGAAAGGCGGGGTCGCCCGAGGCCGTGTCGCCGCCCCGGCCCTCCGCCCGACGGCATTGGCGAGGGCGTCGCAGTGCGCCCGCGGCCTCCGCCGGGGCCGTCGCCAGGTTGGCGGCCGAGGCGCGGGGGCGGTGCCGGGGCGACGGCGCCAGAACACTTGTGCGCGGTGTTGTGCCCTGGCGACGCGCAAGGCGATCCTGCGGAGGGCTCGCGAGCTCGGGGAGCGGCCGAGGCCGCGGTTGAGTGTGCTGCTTCGTGCGCAAACCAATTGGGCGCGCCCAGTGAGGGGCCGCGACGCGCCCTCGACGGCGTCGCTGTAATGAGCCCGCTCGAACGCCGGCGCTTCGCCGCGAGGGCGCGCTTGGATGCGGCGTTTGGCAGTTGTCCTCGATCAGTGCAGAGCTGGGCGTCCGCAGTCCGATGGTGGTTACGCTTCTCAGAGTGCGTCCTTGGGCGGGATTCCCCCTGTCCCATTTGCGCGGAGGACCTCCAGATCGCCGGTGCGCTGCTCCGCGTGAGCGGCGCGTTCGCTAATTGCTGCGGGCGCTGGCGCGCGGCATCCGAGCTGTTGTCGGTGTCGACGGCCGCCTTCGATGATCGCTCCGCGAAGCAGGCGCGATTGGGCATCGCACAGAGGCGCCCGACGCCCCCGAGAGTCAAACGTTCTGTGCAGCACCCCCCCCTGCCCAGAATCGTTGAAGCGAGCGTCCCGGGCCCGGTGGCCGCGCCTGTCAGGGCAGATGTGGCGATGCTCATGTGTTTCGGATGCGCGTTTCTGTTGCGCCGGCCAAGTGAGGGCTTGCCCGCTGTCTTCGATGGCTCGGCTTTCAACGAGCAGCACCGGCCATCGGTGTGCCTCTCGGCAGAGGCGTTCGGTTTGCGATTTCAGCGGCGCAAGAAGTCGGAAAGGCCTGCGACGATTTGGCGTAGGTGCTGGCGCCGTGCCGAGGGCGGCGAAGGCGCGTGTCCAGTGCGCGTCCTCGGTGCTTTCTTCGAGAGAGCGGGCGTAGGCGCGCAGGCCTTCGCGAGCTTCTCTCCCGCGGACGCCGTGGCCGCCGCCCGGGCTGCGGCCAGGGCGGTGGGCGCAGCGCGCCGGGGAGAATTCGACGCGAAGGCGCTCTGCCGCGGACGTGCGCTCGACTTAGTCGAGCGCGTGGCCGGCCTGGCCGAGATTGTTCGCGCGGGCGGCTGCTGGAGCGCTGCCTTCGTAGATTATCTGCCCGTGGAGTCTCTCGAGCGGGGCGCTGCTCTCGAGGCCAGGGGCAGTTGCTCTCCGACAGCGATGCGCGAAGAAAAGAGCAGCGCTTCATGCCTGGTGGAGCGCGCGCGCTGGCGCTCCGGCGGCGCGCGTACATTTGGTCTGCGCCTGCGCGCGCGTGGCGCGCGCGGCTGGGCCTCCCGCCGAGTGGCCGGCGCTCCGTGGCAGTGGGCGTTCGCACTGGGCGCTCGGCTAGTCCGACGACGCAGGGAAGTGCCCGAGCCACCGTCGGGTCGGGGCACCGAGCGCGCGGCCGGGGTCGATAGCCGCGCCCCGCGTCGCGGTGCGACGCGCCGGGCCGTTTGGCGTCCTTGCCAATGTTTTGTGGTGGGCGATCATCGTGCAACGTTGAATCGCGGTCGCGAAACCGCGGGGCGGGCGCCCCCGCCCCAGCCCCCATGCTTGGGCGAACTGGAGGGGGCGCCGCGCGACGCGCAACGGCGCGGGGCGACGCGTGCCCAAGCGTTGGGTGCGAGGCGTCGCGCAGTCCGCCCTGCTTACATGGGCGAGCGCGCGAGGGGGCGTGTGCGCCGCCCAGGGTTGGGATGGGCGTCGCGCGCGCACGATTGGCGGGGGTGTCCCGCCACGCTCGGCGAGGGGCACCTGCGGTGCGGCTTTTGCCCGCCCACCCCTCCGTTGGTGGCCACTCGGCTTGGGGCGTTCGCACTGGGCGCTCGGCTAGGCCGACGACGCAGGGAAGTGCCCGAGCCACCGTCGGCTCGGGGCACCGTTGCGCGCGGCCAGGGTCGAGCGCCGCACCCGACGTCGCGGTGCGACGCGCCGAGCCGTTTGGCGTCCGCGCCAAGGTTTTGTGATGAGTGGATGTATGGATGGACGGATGGATGGATGTATGTATGTAGGTAGGTGTATTCATGTACGAATATATACATTATATATACATGTATATATTCATATAGATCTTTTTGTATATATATATACACATATCGTCACTCACATACACACAAAGTCACATGTAGAAAAAAGGGATATATATATGTATATATATATAGAGAGAGAGAGAGAGAGAGAGAGAGAGAGAGAGAGAGAGAGAGAGAGAGAGAGAGAGAGAGAGAGAGAAAAACAAACAGAGAGAAAGAGAGCGAGAGAGAGAGATACATAGAGAAAACGAGAGAGAGAGACAGAGAGAGAGAGAGAGAGAGAGTGAGAGAAAGAGAGGAAGGGATGGAGGGAAGAACGGATATGGCAAGTGGCAGAGGAAGACCCAAACATCCGGCGTCACGGTTTCTTCGTGAAATCCGCCATCCGACCTCTGGGCCCCCTCTTTTGGACTGAATGCGGGCTTCGGGCCAAGGAAACATCTAGGGTTCAGCTGATTCTGAAGCACCATTACAGCTGCAAGTTCTTCACAGTTTCTCAAGCAGGGGGCCGGTCAATCATCGCTTCCCTGCATCCAGGTGGCGATCACAGATTCGTTTTTCATCACACAAATCGTCCACCCACCGCTGATGCTGCAGTGCAGGCCCGTTCATGTGAACGCCCAGGGACGGCCTCGGGAGGATGTGGCCCCGCCGTTCAGGGTCAAGCCTGAGTTGAGTCACCTCGCATCAATTCCGTCGACAGCAGAATCCCGCAGAGCGCCCCCTCCCTCCTCATCCTCCTCGTGCCCCTCCTCTGCCTGTAGGGGGTGGACTGCGCTGCACTTCCGGGAGGTGCAGCCATCCAGCCTCTGTCCCGCCGCTGCGGTGCAGAGATTCGAGGAAACACTCACCGCAGCCGTTGGCGTTGCCTTGAGATTGTCTGTTCATCTTGGCAGGAACCCGGGCGTGTCTCCCCTCCCTGCTCCCGCTGTCCACCTGCCGCCTGTTGCTGTGGATCCACTGCGCACTCGCTGGCTCGCTGCCTGCCCCTCCCCCTCTCTCCTCTCCCTCTTCTTCCCTGCCGGCGGCGGGAGGGGGAACACAGGCCAGAAGCGAACTTGGCGGTGGTCTCGCACGGCGGCTTCCTCATGAGGCGCCGCTCCTCTTCCGCTCGTCGCCTCCTCGCCCCGAGAGGGGCGAGGAAGGGATGGAATAAGGGAGGAGGGGGGAGGGAACATCGGGGGGAAGGGGGGAACAGGAACGAGCGCGTAGCAAGGGGGAACGACGAGGGAGGAACAGGGAGAAACGAGGCTGACGGAGGAGGAGGAGGATGATGAGGAGGAGGAGCAGGAGGAGGAGGAGGAGAAGGAGGAGGAGGAGGAGGACGAGGACGAGGAGGAAGAGCGAGGAGCGAGGAGCAGCGAGGAGGAGCTAGGAGGAGGGGTCGAGCAGGCAGGAGTTGGGAACGGGGAGGAGCGAGGTGGAAGGGCGGAGCGGGGAGTAAAGGAAGGGCAGAAAGGGGGCAAGAAGGGAGGGCGACGACATCGAGGACTCCCTCCTCCCCCCCACCCCTTCTTCCTCCTCCTCCCCCTCCTCCTCCCCTTCCTCCTCCTCCACCTCCTCCTCCTCCTCCTCGAGGGCGCGGCCTCCTCCTCCCCCTCGATGGGCAAGGCCCCCCCCTCTCCTGGAGAGAGGCCCGGGGGCCGAGGCGACGACGTCGAGGACTCCCTCCTACGCCCTTCTTCCATCGTTCGTCGTCAGCCCCCCGTCCTCCGTCCTCCCGCCTCCTTCCGCCTCCTCTTGCGCCTCCTTGCTTTTGTTGGACGGGGTTCCATCCTGGTCAGGCGGGAACGAGAACACACAGATACAAGCAGTCGTCGACCACGAGGAACATCTGGGAAGATATGGGTGGGGGGTGGAAAGACGAGAATCCAGGACGTATGGAAGAGCATGGGAGATCCTGGGATATCTGTCTATTTGTTTGTGTGTCCGTGGCCCTAGTCACCTACCTCTTCCACCTTGCATCCTGCGCGCCGTATCCTGCATCCTCGCCCGCCCGAACTCCCCCCCGCCCCTCAGCGATGCCCCGCAGGTCCCCCGAGCTCTCCAGATGCTGCGAGAGGGTCGGGGAGGCCCCCGGAGCCGACGTGAGGCCCGAAAAGGGTCACAGAAGCGTCCGCAGGCTTTGATCCTCGAGCCCAAAACCTTGAAGTTCCCTCCCCCCTGCGGGCAGGACGTTGTGTCCATGCCCACTGCGTCTCGGAGTTTCGGACTGCCTTCGCCAGAAGCCCGAAAACGCAGCGGATACGGACCACAGGCTGGACACACTGGCGAGTCCAGAACCGTATCCATGTCCGTTGCGCCTCTGGTCTATGGCCTCCCTCCGCAAAGCATCCCAGACGTTGTGGATATGGATATGGATATGGATATTGTTATGGATATATATATATATAAATGTATGTATATATGTCTGTCTGTCTTTCTGTATGTCTCTCTGTCTGTCTGTCTGTCTGTCTGTCTGTCTGTCTGTATGTATGTATGTTTTTATACTCTTTAGATGTGTATATCGGAGGTTGGGGGGTTGGAGCGGAAGTGACCACAACCGGGAAATCGGTTACGGTTTCGGTTCGTGTCGTGCGTGAGTGCGAGGCAAGTTGCGCGAGTTCCATCCTTAGTAGAGGCCATTGATTGCCAAAAGGGCTGCCCGCCGAGCGCCGGGCGTTGCCCCCAGTTGTCCCGGCGGTTGTCTCGAAGGTCCCGATGGTTGTCCCGATGGTTGTCCCGATGGTTGTCCCGGTGGTCGTCTCGATGGTATATACATAGATATTTAGATGTTGTTAGATGTTGTCGCGATGTTTTTTCCGATGGTTGTCCCGCTGGTTGTCCCGATGGTTGTCCCGATGGTTGTCCCGATGGTCGATAGATATATAGATCGATAGTATATATATATAGATATAGGTGTATATATAGATAGGTAGAAGCTGTTAGATGTTGTCACGTTTTTTTTTTAAAGATGGTTGTCCCAATGGTTGACCCGATGATTGTCCCGATGGTTGTCCCAATGGTTATCCCAGTTGTTGATAGTTGAACGTTTAGAAATATACACATCGATATACACATATAGATACACATAGACATTTATACAGAGAGACAGAGACATGTATATGCGTATATATATATATATATATATATATTGCTTTGTTTATTTGTTGGCTGATAGACAGATCTTTTTATAGGTATATAGATATAACTGTATGCGTATGGCGGTATACATGCATACACATATATATATATATGTTTGTCGCCATTAGAGAACTAGGTATATAGGTATATATCTATATACACGTATATGGACAGATGTGCGCGACAATGAAAAAGTTGAAGACATCACCAAAGAACCCAGAGCCATCGCACATCGACCGCCTCCCCCTTCCCCTCCCCGACGTCCTTATCACCCGCAGCGTGGTCCTATCGGTATACGTATATATATATATATATATATATATACATATATATGTATAGATTTTGCCTGACACCTCCCCTTCCGCAGCCCCCCCCCGTCGCCTTCCCGTGCCCCGTCGGCTCCGCCGCGCCCTCGGTGCCGCGCCATGCCCGCCCCGGAGGCTCACGGGCGACTCGTACATGGACAACTGCGAGGTCCGCACGTACCTCGTGACGGGCGGTCGGCACACCAGGTGTGATGGGCCGATTATCCACCACCGCTACCACAGGTATGATATAAGGAGGAGGAGGAGGAGGAGGAGGAGGAGGAGGAGGAGGAGGGGGAGGAGGTGGAGGAGGAGGAGGGGGAGGGGGAGGAGGAGGAAGAGGAGGATGAGGAGGAGGAGGGCCTCCCCATCCTCTCTTTGCCCCCGTCATACCTATGGTAGTGATGGTGGAAGATCGGCCCATCAAGGTGGAAGCGGTTGAGGACCTACGCGTCCCCCCGCGGCAACGCTTGACGCCGCGCTTCGTGCCGCAGGCACGGCCTTTGGGGCCGAGGGCGCTGCGCTCCCCGAACGCGGCGGAGGGATCGCCCCTCCCCCCCGCCCCGCGCGCCGCTTGCCTGCTGGGCTGGCCAGCATGTCCTGCGTCCTGGGCCCACGACGCGTGCACCGCCAATCCCTCTGTTCTGTCCTCCATCCTCCATCCTCCTCCTCCATCCTCCATCCTCCTCCTCCTCCTCCTTCTCTTCTCTTCCTCCTCCTCCTCCTCCTCCTCCTCTTCCTCCATCCTCCATCATCCTCCATGCTCCATCCTCCATTCGTTTTCTCCTCCTCCTCCTCCTCCAACCTCCATGCTCCATCCTCCATCCTTTTCCTCCTCCTCCTCCTCCTCCTTCCTCCTATTGTCTTTTTGTACGTTGGGCGGACATGAAGGCCAGGCTTGTTGCGTTCAATGCCTTTTTTCTTCTCCTCCTTCCCTCCATCATTCTCCTCCATCCTCCCTCCTCCCTCCTCCCTCCTCTCTCCTCCCTCCGACCTTCCTCCGTCCCTCTACCCTCCCCATCCCTTCATCCCTTTTCCTCGTCGTCCTTTTCCCCCGCCTCCAGTGACTCACCCCCGCTGCCTCCTCCATCCCTCCTCCTCCTCCCTCGCCCCCCCTCCCCCTCCCCCGCACCTCTCCTTCCCCGCCCCCCCCCCCCCCCTCCTCCACCCTCCCCCCCCGCCCGAGGAGCGAGGGGAGGACGGGCGGAGGAGGGCGGAGCAGGGCTTGGAGGCGCCCAGTGGCGTGACGTGTCGAGTGGGCCCTGCGCAGCCCTCCCACGGCAGGCCGGGTCTGCATCCTGTGCATATCCCGCCGCGTTCGGACCCTCGCCTGCCGCGGGCCGCTGCCCCTTTTCCCCTGGCCGCTCGTGCCAAGCCGCTCGACGCGGAGTTTGGAATTCGTCGCCGCGGCTCAGGACCGCGGCGGCCGCACGTTGCCTCTCCGCTACAGTTTCTTCATGCGCAGGGCCGGGGAGCGTGGCGCTGATGGGGTGACGATGGCGCTGGTGCCCCTGCCGATGATGATGATGATGACGAGGATGATGATGATGATGATGATGATGATGATGATGATGATGATGCTGATGATGATGATGATGATGATGATGATGATGATGATGATGACGAGGACGATGATGACGTGGATGATGGTGATGATGATGGTGATGATGATGATGACGATGAGGATACGGATGATGATGATGCTGATGATGATGATGATGGTGATGATGATGATGATGACGAGGATGATGCTGATAACGAGGATGATGATGATGACGATGATGATGATGATGATGATGATGACGATGAGGATGAGGATGAGGATGCTTTTGCTGATGCTGATGCTGCTGAGATGACGATGGTGATTATGATGCTGATGCTGATGCTGATGAGGATGACGAGGATGATGATGCTGAGCATCATGCTGCCGCGGATTGTATTGCTGATGCTGCGGATGATGATGCTGATTCTGATGATATGATGATGGTGGTGCTACCATGATTGATGTTGGCGTTGATGCTGTCGACGATGCTGAGGTCATGCCGAAGCTGATGATGAAGCTGTTGCTGCTGATGATGCTCAGAGTGATTTTTCAGAAGATGATGCTGATGATGCTGATGATGATGCTGATGCTGACGACGGTAATGCTGCTGATGATAAGGATGACGACGTCGACGACGGTGACGACGATGATGACGATGATGATGATGATGATGATGATGATGATGATGATGACGTTGACGTTGCGGATGACGAAGACGATGACGATGATGGTGGTGATGATGATGATCATGCTGATGCTGCTGATGATCATGCTGCTGATGATGATGGTGATGCTCGTGATCATAATGATGGTGATGCTGCTGATGCTGATGATGATGTGGTGGAGGTGATGATGACGATGCTGATCATGCGGTTGATGATGATGTTGCTGATGATGATGATGGTGATGATGAGGATGATGATGATGATGTTGATGGTGATGGTGATGATGCCGATGATGACGATGACGGCAAAGCATGATGCTGCTGATATTGATGATGCTGATGATGATGATTACGATGCTGAGGAAGATGCTGCTGGTGATGTTTTTTGATGATGATGATGATGAGTGTGCTGATGATGGTGATTCTTATGATGCTGCTGATGATAATGGAAAGGCTGATGATGATGCTGATGCTGAAGAGGATGTTGATAATGGTGATGCTGATGAGGCTGATGATGCTGATGATGCTGATGATGCTGATGATCATTGCGACGATCATGATTATACTGGTAATGATGATGCTGATGAGGGCGATGAGGGTGATGATGTGGTGATGCTGAAGATGCTGATCATGCTGATTCTGATGGTGATGCTGATGATGATGCTGCTGATGATGATGGTGATGAGATCGACGAAGGCGATGACGACGATGCTGATGATGCTGATGCTGATGAAGATGATGATGCTGATGATGACGACGAGGATGATGATGATGCCGATGAGGATGCTGATGATGATGATGAGGATGGGGATAAGGATGAGGACGCCGATGCTGGTTATGATGCTGAAAGGTGACGATTACGATTATGATGACGATGATGCTGAAAAGGATGATACGAATACAATGCTGAGGATCATGATGCCGTGGATGATGATGCTGATGCTGCGGATGATGATGCTGATTATGATGATGATTATGTTGATGCTACGATGATGGTGATGTTGGCGTTGATGTTTCCGACGATGCTGATGACATGATGGTGCTGCTGCTGCTGCTGCTGACGATGATGATGATGATGATGAGAGTGATGATTCTGATGGTGATGCTGATGCTGACAACGGTGATGCTGATGCTGATAATGATGACCACATCGACGACGGCGACGACGATGATAATGATGCTGACGATGACGAAGACGACGACGATGACGATGATGCTGCTGCTGATGATGATGATGATGATGATGATGATGATGATTATGGCGATGCTGCTGCTGCTGATGATGATGATGCTGACGCTGCTGATGATGCGGCTGATGGTGATGATGATGGTGATGATCGAGGTCATAATGATGGTGATGACGATGTGACGAATATGATGATGACGATGCTGACTATGAGGATGATTCTGCTGCTGATGATGATGATGCTGATGGTGATGGTGATCATGATGCAGATGACGATGACGATGATGACGAAGCATGATGCTGCTGATAAGGATGATGCTGCTGATGATGGTTCTATGATTATGATGATGATGCGGGTGCTGATGATGGTGATTCTGATGATGATGTTGCCGCTGATGATGATAATGATAATGATGATGATAGTGATGATTATGATGACGAAGAGGATGTTGATGATGGTGATGATGATGAGGCCGATGCTGATGATGCTGATGATGCTGATGATGCTGATGATGCTTATGCCGATGCTCATGATGCCGATGATGCTGATGATGACGGCGACGATCATGATCATAATGATACTGATGATGATGGTGGTGATGATGTGGTGATTATGATGAAGATGCTGATGATGATGATGATGGTGATGCCAATGACGATGACGTTGACGATGATGATGGTGATGATGGTGATGCTGATTCTGATTCTGATGGTGATGATGGTGCTGATGATGATGATGATGATGATAATGATGATGATGATGATGATGATGATGATGATGATGATGATGATGATGATGATGATGATGATGATGCCGATGGTGATGATAATGATGAAGCTTCTGTTGCTGATGCTGCTGATGATGCTGTTGCTGATGCTGCTGCTGATGATGCTGATGCTGATGATGCTGATGATGGTGACGATGAGGAGGATGATGCTGATGATGATTCGTGTCATTCTCATTGGTATTATTAGTAGCACGGTGATTATGATGACGATTAGGATGATGGTTATGATGGCTTTATTCTTAGTGTCATTATTCGGTCTCATATATTACTATTAGGGTAATCTTACTAATTATTATTTGTATTGTTATGATGATTATTCTGTTTCTTTTGATTCTTTCTTATGATTATTCGGAGTCGCATTTCTGTGGCGGTGGTAACAAGTGGTGTCAGGAGCCGAGCTCAGACTGGCGAAGACGTTCCTGACGATTGTAATGGCGACCGTTGTGAGGGTCACGGCCCTGGCGGCGGCGTCCGTGCTACTGGTGACGATGCCGATCCCAGGGCCCCGAACGCAGGGCCACGCGGCGGCCGCCCGCGGCGCGTGCGGCACCGCCGAGACCCCTGCAGGGCGCGCGCGGCGCCCGCCGCGCACGGCGCGGCACGGCGCACGGCGCCGCGCCCACGGCGCGCCCGCGGCGCGGCACGGCGCGGCGCGACGCCGCGCGGCGCGGGCGCGGCGCGGGCGCGGCTCGCACGACGGCACGTCGCGCGCGGCAGCTGCGAGCACGGCACGGCCACGCGCAGCGCGGCGCCGCGCGGCGCAGCACTGCGCGGCCCCTGCAGGGCAGCGGCGCGCGCGCGGCGGGGCGCGCGCGCAGGCGCGGCGCGCAGGGCGCGGAGGGAGCGGTGCGGCGCGGCGTTGCAGGGCGCGCCCAGTGCGGCAGTGCAAGCTCCATCGGCACGACATCCTGAGCTCGCGCCGGCGCTCTGCGCTACTCCGCTCTGCACGATCGAAGTAGGCACGGCAGGTTCGCGTCGTTGCGGGCGGCGGCGACCCCGCCGCGGGCCTTCAGCGTTGAACTCAGAGGAGGAAAAGGTACCCATACTGCCACCCTTCGCCCGTTTTCCCCTCTTGGGCCTCCTGGGAGGCCGTCGTCGCCCCCGCTGGATTTGCCTCGCAATTCTGGTCAAACGCACCCAGGGGGAAGGTCTGCTTTCCCCAGTATCGTTGGGTGCTCGCTGTTTCGACAAAGTGCACGCGGTAGTTGCTGCACTCCAGCCGTTCAGGGACAGCATGCTCTGACTGAGTCATGGCGCGAAGCGCGACGTTGCTGGAGAGCCGTTTCATAGTCACTGTCGTACGTACATATTCCATCTCATCGAAAGGACACTGAAGAGCCTGCACACCCTGATAGCGATTCCAAGGGTGATCTGAGCTCAGCATCTTGCTGTCCAGCTTCGCAGCAGGTGTGGCGAGATCATGCGCAGTGCTTGGATTGTCCGTGTAGAGGTATAGTTCGCTACCAGATCTCACCGCACACCAAACCACTCCAACTCCAAGCCAACCCGAAGGCCCCGATTTGCCCTCCATTTACAGTGAGGGGGGTGTCGGGGAACAATGACAAAAACACACATGAAGCCTGTACCCCCGCCCAAACCCGAAATTCGGGTCTTCGGGTTGGGTTGGGGTGGTCTGGTAGGTTGTCAAGATCATAGAACATGGCCATGGTGCAATCGTCCCGCTACAGGAGAGCACAGCTCTACGCCGCATCTCCGGCCCATGGCGCCTGCGCGCACTGTGGAGCTCACGACTTATCTTTAATGGGCAGCCACCACTTTGGTCTTTAGGTTAGGTCTGTGGCCTCCCCACGCGACGAGCTCCGAGGCTGGCGCCGGATCTCCCGCTCCACAGCGCTGCGACGGGCGGTGGGCGGCGGTGGTCGGGAGGAGTGCGACGTTCCTCTCTCGGCCCTCCGTTCTCGGCGAAGGGTGGTCTGCATCTCTCCCGTTGGGTGTGCGGATCGGAGGGGATGAGGATGGTTCTGCGCTCGGTTCAGGATGATCTCACGGAAGAGTCCCAACAGCGCCCTGTGTGATTCTTTTTCGCCCAAGTTCTTGCAGGGCTCTGCAGGCAAATGGTTCGGCCACGAGTGGCCCCCCAAAAAAGAAGGACTCTGCAGGCTCTCCGAGCATGGACCGCAGGGGCCCTCGAGCCTAGGCTGCCCACGAGTCCGATCCCCACGATGTTGCCGACATCGTCTCGATCGATTGGGCTCGATCTGACTCCCCGGGTGGGGCTCGGTTCGATCGGGTCGGTGGGGAAATGCGGCTCGATCTCTCTGGGACTGGCGCGGGCAGCCTTCGGTCAGCTCTGCGCGGGGACCCCACCAGACGTCATTCGGCGGAGGGGGATCGATGCATACACCACGTCGTTTGGTCTACCAAGGAACTGAGGAGTTCGGCGAAGGAATCTGGTGTGTGGACGCTCTGGCGTCCCACGGGTCGGGCAGCTGGGGCGTCCATACACCGAGCTCCTTGGCCGACCATATGACGAGGTATACATATACATCGAGCTCCTCCAAGTCGTTGGTCGTGGGAGAACCGCACTTCCGTATCCGCGACCTTGCGGACCGGGCCCTTGGGCCGCGACCCCGCTCGGCACGAACGAAGTGGGTACGGAAAGAACGGGTACGATGCCCAACAGCAGTTCCTGTTCATCTTGAACAGGACTCGCTGTCCGCGCCGCCGCGGCCTGTGTCCATTTGAGACAGAAGGCCGCCTGCCCAACAGCGGCCGCTGTTGGTCTGGGACAACATTTGTTGTTGGGCATTCTACCCATTTGTTCCGTACCCATTTCGGGCGTCCAAACCCGCAGAGGCAGGGCGTTTTCTCGCGGATGCCCCGCGCGGAACGCATCTGTGCGACGGCGTATCCGTGGGATCGCGCCCCGGAGTCCAGACCGCGAGGGCGCGGATGTTGACATGTTCGCCGCTCGTCAATGGGGCCAGCATTAGGTGCAACGACAGGGGGGGATAGGCACAGGGGGGATGCATCGACCATCAATGGTCCATTGATCGCCGATGGGGCCCCATAGCCCCAACTTGCCCAGGAAGGTGCGAATCCGCTATCGGGGGCCTATCGCCGATCCATCGGCGATTTATCGCCGATTCCAAGTCGACGCATTCCCCCCCTGTGCCAGTCCCCCCCTACCGTTGCCCCTCACAGCAAGCTGGAGCAGCCTGCCGAGGCCCCCCGAAGACTCCCCCGAGGAGGTCCTCAGGAGAGTTCCCCCGAGGAGCGCTCCGAGCCCCAGAGCCCCTCGGAGCGCTCCCCTCCCCCCCTACGCCGGGGTCCATTTTCGATCCGATCGAACTGGTTCGGCATCTGTTTCGGCCATTTCGATCCGATTCGATCGATATTCCGACGACCCGATGCGGCCGGATGCTTGCATGGCGCTGCTGTGCGTTCTGGCGCAGCCGATCCGCTTCTGGTTCGATTCCGTGCCGATGCAGCCCGCTCCGACGTGCACTCCGATTCGATCCTATCTCCCGGTTCGAGGCTGATTGATCCTGCTCTGCCCGAGCGGTGAATGAGTAAGAGGAGGAGGATGAGGACTAGTGCAGACCCGGGACGTAGGTGTCCACCGAGGGAAGTGCCCCGTTTGGAGACAACCGTTTGAAGATCCTGAAGCTTGCCGAAACACCATTCAGCGCCACGAATCAACTTGACTGTTGCGTCGCGACGACCCTGAATCGTGCAGAACACCATTCCTGGGACTGCAACACCGCGGATCGACCCAAATGTAGCGCCCTGACCATTCTGAATCGTTCCAACACACCGTTTCTGGTACGTTAACCATGGGATCCCGTGAAGTTTTTCAATTTATTTCAATGTATCAAGTCGAATGTGCGCGGTGCTGAGGCGGGATCCTCATTTGAAAACGACCCGCCCTCAATCCGTGAATATCTTGTCATTTGAAGACGAGTGTTCGCGGCGCTAGAGGCGAGAGCCACAATTCGAAAACCGCCCGCCCTCAGTCCGTGGAACTCTTGCACTTCTTAATACGAATGTGCGCGGCGCTACGGCGAGAGCCACATTTTGAAAACCGCCCGCCCTCCATCCGTGAACGTCTTTCACATGTCAAACTTCAGGATCATAGATGGAGAGGAAGTCTCAGGCTAAATGACCGCCCGCTCTGTCGACAAGCATCGGGGCGAGACAGGGAGGAATTATTAAGGTGGAAAGTATGGAAGAAGAAAAGATGGGGAAGAGACTGAGGAGGAGGAGGAGGAGAAGGAGAACGAGGATCATTAGGAGGAGCAGGAGAAGGAGCAGGACGGCCAGGAGGAGCATGAGGAGGATGAGAAGGAGAAACAGCAGCAGGCGAAGGAGGAGGAGGAGAAGCAGCAGGAGGAGGAGCAGGAGGAGTGACGGGATGATGATGCTGCTGCTGATGATGGTGGTGATGATGACGTCGATGGCGACGACGATGACGATGACGACGACGATGACGATGACGACGATGACGACGACGACGTCGATGCTGACGACGCTGATGATGATGCTGCTGATGATGGTGCTTCTAATGATTACGATGATGAGGATGCTGTTGAGGATGTTGATGTTGATGGCGAGGATGATGCTGCTGCTGATGATGATGCTGATGATGATTATAACGATGATGCCGTTGCTGCTGATGATGATTCTGCTGATGCTGATGATGATGCTGATGATGCTGATGCGGGTGAGGATGCTGATTCTGATGACGATGACGACGACGATGCTGATGATGGTGATGCTGATGCTGATTGTGATGATGCTGATGATGATGATGCGGATGATGATCTTGATGATAATGCTGAAGTTGATGAAGATGGTGATGCTGATGATGGTGATGCTGATGACGATGCTGATTTTGATACTGATGCTGTTGGTGGTAGTGACAATGCTGCTGCTGCTCATGATGATGCTGATTCTGATGATGTGGATACTGATTATGATGATGGTGCCGACGATGTCGATGGCGATGATGTTATGGATTCTGATGATGATGATGAGGAGGAGGAGGATGATGCTGATGATGATGATGATGATGATGATGATGATGATGATGATGATGATAGCGCTGACGATACTGATGCTGAAGCTGATAGTGCTGCTGCTGATGACGATGCTGATAATGTTGATGCTCATGATGATGACGATGCTGACGATGATGATGGTGATGGTGGTGCTGCTGATGATGATGCTGATGCTGATGCTGATGCTGATGATGCTGATGAGGATGGTGATGATGCTGCGGCTGACGATGGTGCTGCTGATGATGCTGATGCTGATGGCGATGCTGATGCTGATTGTTATGATGATGAATATGGCGATGCTGATGAAGCTGATGATGCTGCTGCTGCTGAGAATGATGCTGATTCTGATGATGATGATGATGCTGTTGATGATGCTGATGATGCTGTTGATGATGATTATGATGCTGGTTGTCATGCTGATGGTGATGAAGAATAATGCGACGATTATGATCATGATTATGATGATGATAATGATGCTGATGATGATGATGATGATGATGATGATGCTGATGCTGATGCTGATGATGATGATGATGATGATGATGATGATGATGATGGTGATGATGATGATGCTGATGATAATGATGATGATGATGATGATGATGATGATGATGATGATGATGCTGATGCTGATGATGATGATGATGATGATGATGGTGATGATGATGATGATGCTGCTGTTGCTGATGATGATTATGTTGCTGCTGATGGTGATGATGATGATGCTTATGCTGTTGCTGCTGATGATGATGATGACGATGATGATGATGATGATGATGATGATGATGACGATGATGATGATGATGATGATGATGATGATGATGATGATGATGCTGATGATGATGATGATGATGATGATGATGATGAGGATCTTGATAATGCGGGGCGGTGATGGTGCCGGTGATGACGATGGTGATGGTGATGGTGAAGCCGATGGCGGTGGTGATGGTGATGGTGCTGCTGCTTCTGCTGGTGCTGCTGAGGAGGAGGAGGAGGAGGAGGAGGAGGAGGAGGAGGAGGAGGAGGAGGAGGAGGAGGAATTGGAGGAGGACCGTAGCCATTTTGGCTCAAGTCTCACGGAGCTAACCTCCCGTGGGTCCCGACTCCAGAGGCTCGAGGCTGAGGTGGAAGGGCAGCCCCTTCCTGAGGCCTGGCTGCCTCAGCCTAGCACTTGGTGAGCTCCTGGCGGAGCAAAGCTTTCGACCCTCGGCGCACCGAGGGAGTCTCCCAGCCTCCAGAGGATCGGGGATGGTCCAGAATGGCGGAGGGGAACCCGCAGTCTTGCCAGGGCCGAAGGAGCCAATGTGGGGTTGCGCATGTGGAAGGAGCAGCAATTGGGCGAGCAGGATCCGTTGTGTGTGCGGGGTGTCGGCACCTCGCTCGATCACCGATCGTGCTTGTCAGAATGCGAAGAAGTTTCAGAACGAGCGAGGGCCGAAGCCTGGGCCTCACCCCATGCCAGGAGGGGTCTGGGCTAAGCAACTCGAGAGTACGAACCAGTCGATTGCGAAGCTTGCCAACTCCGTCCAGCTCCTGCTCAAGGCTCAGCCTGCAGTGGGGGGGCCGCCTGCGAAGGGGGCCGCGGGCGGCGGCGGGGCATGCCAGGATGGTGGTGGGGCCAGCGCCAGCCAGGCGGACAAGCTGCGCGAGAGGATCGCGATGCTTGGCAGGATGGCGAAGGAGCTGGACCCAGACGCGGACAAGGATGAGATCGAGCGCCTGCGGCAGAAGCAGGCGGCGGCGCAGAAGGAACTCCAGGGCTCCAAGCCTGCGCTCACCCAGCACACCATCGCGGGG